CCCCCAGCTGGGCAGCACCTGCCTACCCCAGCCCCACACTCTCCTCACTGTGGGAGGCCTTGATCTGCCCTCCCCCACACCCTTCCCCTTTCACCACAACAGACTTACCAGCTGCACACAGCTCTCCAAGGTGCCCAGTGTTGCTCCTCGCTGCCTATGTGCTGCGTGCATGCATGGACCATTTATCAGCCAAAGTATTGGCCGCATCAGGTCAATTTCTGATACAGACAATTTTCTCTATATTGGTGCCGATTCAATATCAGACTGATGTATCAGTGCACCCCTAGTTTTAAAGTTTAGGGCACAACTAAAATTATCAATTTGACAGATTTCATGAAATAGACATTAGGGTTGAAACGGACCTCGAAGATCATCAAGTCCAGCCCCTTGCCCCAGGGGCAGGAAGTCAGCTAAGGTCAAAGGATCCCAGCAAGATAAACATCCATACATTTCTTGAATGAGTCCAGAGTAGGTGCCTGCACCACTTCTGGAGGGAGTCTATTCCAGGTCTTGGGGGCTCAGACCATAAAGAAATTTATTCTCATGTCGAGCCTAAAACGGTCTTGTAGGAGTTTATGACCATTGGTCCTTGTTTTTCCTTGGGGTGCTCTGGTGAACAGACATTCTCCCAGATGCTGATATACATCCCTTATGTACTTATAAGCAGCCACCAGGTCCCCCCGTGAGCCTGCACTTTTCCCTCAACATGCTTCTTTTTCACCCTTTAAAAATAAAGATATTTAGTCCGATCTTCTGAATTTGCTAGAGAACTTTTCTCTTTGGGGGAGAAAGGAAAGAAGGCATATCGCTGGGGGAAAAGCACTAGGCAACTTAACAGGCCAGAAACATTGAATGTTTCATATTTTCTTTCCACTTAGTGGAAGTCCCATTACACTTCAAATGCATAAGAACTCTTCATTTTAAACAGTAGCTAAAAATCTCTTTTTCTTCAGTTTTCAGTCTCCTGTGAGGTTTTTCCAATCATGATTACCTCTCAAAAAGACCAGCTCTGTACTTCTATGGTAAAAGTCAGCAAAATCTGGTCTCTGAAAGGCCTTCCTTACGAAATGAAGAGAAGAGGGTACACAGTCATTTTTTCCCTAATTGGAAGTCAGGCTTCAGACTTTCTGGTTACACTTAGCTGACATCAGGACAGAAGAACTTCCATAAATAAGTGGATTTATTACATCTGGACTCTTATGAAAATCAGGTTTGCTCCCTCCTCCTGCTTTGCCTTCACAGCCACATTCTACATCAGTGCCAGAAATGAGTGCTCAAAGGAGTTCTCTTTGCATAAAAGGAATAAGTGTGTATGCTACACAGTGTCAGAGAGCACAAGGTTCCTGCTCCCCCCACTTTGAACTATGAGCCTTTACCAGTAATATCCCAACTCAGAGTTAAGGGCAGGAGAAAGGACAATACTACAAGATTCTACTTAAAGGGTCTGAGAGATCCCATCATTTAGCATGTCACCTTACCTGAACTCGTTTGTTTTTCCATAAGATATTGTAAGCCTCAAGAGAAAAGCGGAGGGCCCAATGATTAGTAACTAATGCAATTAAACTAGCAGGTGAGCTCATTCTAGATGCAGCATGAAACTGGTCAGCACACCAAGTGGCGTTCAAGACACAACAGCATGCAGAGAGAATGCAGCCCATGGTAGAAATCCTTCCCCGCTGGAGACACCAATTGGGTCAGTCATCTCACTTACCCATCCCTTGTAAGGCCTGACAGAAACTGAATTAGGCAACCTTGTCTACACCTTTCAGGCACCCAAGAGCACTTCACCACTTCCTCAATCCTTGGAAAACTCAGAAATAAAACTGTTCCCATTGCTTCTTCAGTGAAGTTTAACTACAATACCCTTTAGCCAAGAGAAAAAGGAATTTGCCTAGTTTCCATTCCTGTGCAACTTGGTATAAATCCTTCATACACAGAAGGATCTGAAGTCACAGCCTTTCCAAAACATCCTGGTCACACAGACCCAAGCTAGGAAATTCTGAAGACCCTTATGTTTTTCCTTTCCATCTCTCTGGGGTGAAAGAAGATAGAGCAGACAAACTCATTCTACATAATCTCAGTTTGGAAACCTGTAAGGGACTCCAGCTAATACTATTTCTAATGACATGCGGGACCTGTATGGATAAGAGCAAAACTGCAAACTGGAACTACTTATAAAAAACACTCTTCAAAAGAAGAGTATAAGCACTATTTTTTATAATAGAGTTTGGCCCTACACACATCCAAATATCAGGTTAGCAGGTGTCATGCTAAATAGGATTCCAAACCCCACTCTTGCATCAATGGAGATAAGGCCAAAGACAGACAATGGCTAATCATGCCCTCCAAATATCTGGCAAATAGATTAACTCAGCATTCCAGAGAATGGTAATGGCTGCTACTACATGAAAGACTTGACTTCAGGGAGCTTACCCAGACTGGTAAACAGAAGGAACCTGTTGCCAACACTGGCAATTGAGAGGATTTATCTCTTGCCCACATCCTCCCATTTCTTTCCTTCAGATAACTCAGTGACAGTGTCCTGAATCCCACTTGCCAAGTCATTTAATCCTGTTCAGTGACAACAAGACCCTCCCCACCCGCCAACCAATTCTGTCCTAGGCAGACCCACAACACTGCAAAGCAATTGCTGCATGCATTCTCCCCAAAAGCCATGCTGTGTCAGAAATGGGAGAATGGGAGATTTGCTATATACAACATAACTGTCTCCCAAGTGTTTGAAGAAGGGAAGGAAGGAGGGAGTGAGGGAGGAAGGGAGAGAGAGACCTTCAGGTTCTTAAAGAGCAGTACCCTCTCTAACTGGTTGAGGGCTTTGGGCTGTTCCCCACTACTTAGTTCCAGTTTGCTGAGGAGACATGGAGAGATCTGTGAAAGACAGGCAAATGCATGGTTTCAACAAAACAAAATAAACCCAAAGAGAAAGAATAACTTGGCAGAGTGCAAGGCCATGGGGGAAAATAAAGGCATGCACAGTGAACAAACAGGACAGAGTGGCTGTATGTGTCAGACACTGGACAAGCAGCATTGCCTTAATGAGCTGGGTGCAGCTATCGCCTGATCACTGGAAAGCTCTGGGGAAGCTTTTTTACAGAAAGCTTCAGTTTCTTTATGGGAGCTTCAGGAGTTCTGGCACTTACATTATGCCACAGACATACCTCTAGCCTTCCCTCTTTTCACTGCCCATCCTACGCTAAGCTAATATCTTGGTTTTCTCTCCATCAGTGGAGGCAGCATGCAAGAACAGCATCATCATGGAGTACAGTGGAAAAAACAGAACCCCAGCTGGTTCAGACCCCTATAACAAACTCAGTGGCAACAGCTCTCTCAGGAAACTGGTCTGTAAAGATCAGTACTGAGAACGAGAGATCAAGGGAGAGAGAGAGAGCGCATGAGAGTGTGTGCGCACACACGTGTATACATGCACATGTGAGAGCATATCCACAAAAGTGTGAGTGAGCAAGTGTGCAAGTATGTATGAGTGAGCACAAGTGCATGTGAGCGCAAGTGAGAGAGAATCTTTGCAATTCTCCTTACATCATGAAAAGGTGCATGAAATCTACAAGTCTAGCATCCTAACATGGGGTGCATCTCTTTCCTGCCCCATTCTATGCCTCTCATCGTTAGGACCCCCTATCTTTGATAGTATCCTTTAGCCCCCAACCTAGAGTTCAAGTTGTGCCCTCACCACACGACATTCTTAAACCTACAAGAGTACTGTATTTTCTCACATGTCCCCAAGATCTTCACCTGGTTTTGGGAAAGGCAGAATGAAGAAAAAAAGATTTTTTTCCTAGAGTTATAGTTAGACAGAGCAAGGACAGAGTTACACTTCAGTTCACTCACCCTCCCTCTCCTAGTTAATCAAAAACTAAAACCCTAACTGCTGCTCAAGACTGATTTCCACGGGTGGATTTATGATTTTGAAAACAGCTTAAAACAGCCTGCAAGGCTGTGAAATAAGGGAAGAGAAACCAGGAGTAGTTTAAAGACAGTAAAAATGCCAGAAGAAAGGTGATCTTGATTAGTGGAACATTAAGACCACCTAAAAGGAGACATGATCATTAACACTTGCAGCATAAAGAACAGAGACATTAAGTCAACTTACTCCCTCAGCTGCCTGAATAGAAATGCCACTCTTGCCGTAAGCATGAAACAAAATGAGGGGTTTCTTTTCTGTGCAGCAAATCAGCTTCCCTACTTAAGATACTCACCCCAATACTAGGGGGCTGATTTTAAGGAAAAGATGTGTATGATATGTAAGTAAATATGGTATGTTTATGGAATCCACATGCTGAAAATTCATTGGAAAAGCAGCTGCTTGTGCAACATGATGCCAAGGAACACACAAAGGCCCTATGGCCTCCTTCAATTCTACAAGCATGAGGAACAGAGGGAGAAAAAGAACATTCTCATGGTTTGGTTACTAACATCCAGGACAGAAGTCCACCTCTGTATTCTGACTTTTATCATAAAAGTTCTCTTCCCTGAAAGCCACCAAAAGCGTGTCCACAATGACAAATTTGAATGGTGGTTACACACTGTCACACCTATCTCATAGAAAGGCTTCCTTTCTAGGCCAGAAGAGCAGGAATGATATGCACTGGGAAAGCAATACTGGCTTACGTAGTGCAAGAAAGGATGAAAAAGCAGCTGAAGAGATGTTAAAAAGAGGGTGTGGGTTTTGAAAGCATCACCATCAAATTCCCAGAGCCTGCAGAAGCTTTTTAGGTGAGAAGAAGGTGATTGCTGTTCCAGTCAGACTTTTTAGGCAACAGTGCAACAGACAAAACTCCTAGCTGAATATGCCAGCATAATTCCTTTTAGTTCAATAAACAATGACAAATTGAGTTCTCTTAAGTGTGCTCCTTCACTGATCTAGGGACTTCCAGGAATAAATGTAGCCACAGAATGTGAAAGCAAAGAACAGAGATGTAAGCAAGCAAGGGGAACAAAAGGAAGCAGAACAGTGGACACCATACCTTCTTCATGTTAGTCCCCATGTAGCTTTTAGGCTCTTCCTTAAACTGAGGCAATCTGAAAAACAAAGAACATGCAGGAATGAATAAAACTTCCTCAGGATTGGTGGGGAAAAGGAGAGAATTACTTCTGGTCTGGCAGCAAACACCAAGGATGAAGGACCCCTAAGAACCCAGACCTCCTCTATGAACTGGCCCTCCCCCAATTCCCTTCTTTTCAAGAAAAGAGGATGAGTCTGTTGCTATTCACAGGAGTTCAGTGACATGGAGTTCAACAGTCTAAATGGCCCTTTGCCTCCAGCAGCCAATTAGACCTGTTCTGAAGAGGTTTTAACCAACACCAAGATTCCCAGCATTGAGATGCAGTTTAGTGCTAGCAGTCTTTTCTCTCACAAACTGTAAGTCAGTTATGGTGGCTCCTCCTGTAAGGTTTTCCCATTGGGCCATCTGGAAGCTATGTTGCTACTGTCCAGAACTACAGAACTACACTGTCATGAGTCTCCCAGTTTCAGCCATCAGCCTACATGCCTTTCATTAAGCAACCCTGTATTTAAGGTAAAGCAGACAGACAGCTTTAAACTGAACTTCCAAATGATCTCTGGAATTTACAACTTTATTCCTCTTTCGCTGTTATACTCCTGCCTTCAGCTTCTTGGGGAGGTGCAAGTCTGTGCCACAACTTTGTCTCCTTCTCTTTCTGCAAAGCAAGACGACAGTACTCAAAAGGAAAGGCAGATGAAGAATAACACCAGTACCCCGGAAGCCATCTTTGCACTACTCCTGCATCATTAGTCTCCATAGGCACATATATGTTCATCTGCTTTCTTTCAAAACAAAAAGCAGCGTTTCCAAGGCAAACTGAAAAAAGTGAGGAGGTGCAGGGAGGGGAAGAAGAGGCACAATGAAATTTGTGACCCACCCACACAGATACACTCACCATAGGGTATCACTTGCTCCTTGCCTAAAAGGATACAGTTCTCTACCTGCTGGAGACTACAGTTGGGGAGAGAATCCTAAAGAGGCCACCAGGGCTGCAAATGTAGAGGTGGAAGGATGTGCACGTAGGAACAGAGTGTCAAAAGAAATCAGAGGTACTGTAATCTCTAGTCAGTAAGTCTGACTGTTGTGGATTTACAACAGTCCTTCCTCCTCAGAATCTCTCTACCAGCCTTTGTTCATAGATTCATAGATTAAGGGTCGGAAGGGACCTAGTAGATCTTCTAGCCCGACCCCCCGCCAGGGCGGGAGAACAACAAAAAACCCCAAAAAGAGAAATGGGACTCAAACGAGTCCAGCCAGGTAGGCATCCAGCCTCTTCTTAAAGACCCCCAGGGTAGGGGCCAGCACCACTTCCCTTGGAAGTTGGTTCCAGCTCCTAGCCGCCCTAACCATGAAATAACCGTGTTATTTCACTAGTCAGAAAGGACATTTCAGAAATTCTTGGATTAATTAATTCAGTACTGATTTTCAGGAGACAGAGCCCTAATTTCCCACTTCAGAAGATGCTAGATAGGGCATAATATTTATCCAAATTACAAAATGATCCCAATGGCCCAATGACAGTTTACATTCCCTTCTAAATGAACCCTCTACTGAAATTAAGCACGTGACTATTTTAGATGGTATTTATTTCCTTTTTCAAGGACATTAATTTTTTTGAAGAAATTAAATGGATTCATCCTGTTCTTTGAAGGGAATCTTGCTTCTCTGTCCTGTCAAAGAACTATTCCCTCCTTTAAATCTCCTCACTGCCTGGCTATGAAATTGCCCCAAAGGCCACCTAAAACCATACAACCCAGCCTGCCCCTCTGTCTCACAGCTTTGGTGAGACAGCCCAAGAGAGAAGGGCCAAATGCTCCCTTCTCCACCACCCTTAAATCATAGTCATATCAGACAGATTTTCAGTAGGCCCCTAAGTGGAATTGTGGAATCTTCCTGTCCTTGGAGGGCCATCTCAGCAATGCTGAGGCAAACACAAGCAGGTTTACCTTGTGAAGAGCAGCTGCACCATGTCGACCAGAGTGTGCTCTGCAGATTTTCTCAATAACTCTGTGAAGACAAAAACAAATAACACAGGTGTCATTACTCAGTCTGATATTATCAAGAGGCTTCTCCAAGCAGACTCCCCTCCGAGCCTTGTTTACAGAGATTACAGCAAATTTATTAAAACCAGCTCCAACTCTGCCTGGCTGCAAAATGGACACATACTCAGAAGGTGGCACCACAGAGCCGGGGAGCCACTGAGCAAAAAGTTGTGCAGTGAATATCAGGCAAAGTTCCAACGAAGCACTGAAGTGCATAATGCAAGGTCAGCACCTTCCCTCAGCTGGATCTCCCACAATGGGCACAGAAAAAGAGGCCTGGAAAGTCCAGACTGTCTATTAGGAACAACCATCACAGAAACAGGGAGAACAAACTTACCACTGAGCCTCATTTCAAAACATATACGGAAACAGGACTGCATGATCTCACACACCGATTCATTAGTGAGGTGGGCTCCTACTGGAGTGAGCAACAGGGTCCTCAAAACCTACAAAGAGAAATACTTAACTGTAACATGTCACCATTTTTTTTTTTTATTAATATATCCCGTGTTCCAGGTCAAATCAGCCAAATCATATCAATTGAGCAGAACTCAATTGTTCCAAAAAAACATTATCAATTGAGCAGGCAAAACTAAACGCCGTGTATGGAGCTACAACTAGCAAGCATCCTCCATTCCAGGCTCTCACCCTGAAAATTCAGATACTCTCAAATCTATTGGCAGGCATCCTATGTGCAGGCCCAAGCCTGGAGGTCTTGGGGTTCGAATGCCCCCACCAAGACACTTGATCTGATCCAAAAGGCCACATAGCACCTATGCCATCCACCTGAAAAAGGGTCAGGGCTTTCATGGAAGGCCTTCCTGGAACCCAGGCACTGCTTCAGGCTTTCCCAATAACTGAGAGTTGTGCTTAAGGGCAGGCAGGTTGAAGAGAAAACAAAAAGGGAGGCGATTTCTTCCTCCCATCCCACCTAACCTTTGAATATTACCCAGTGCTTGGGTTTTCTTAGAACCCTCTGCCAAAAAGTAGATCAAAGAGAATAAAACTATGTATTTGCCTCTATGAAGAAATCTCTTCCTTCAAAACAACCTTGTGCAAGCAATATGCTTGGCTTCTCTCTCATTAGCTAAGACTGTGCACAAGCTGGAATTATCAAGGCCACAGTGAATCAAGAACCCAATTTAAAATCAATTCATTTAAGCTTTCAATTATTTTCATTTGGAAAAGCTTTTACCACAGGTACATGAGCCATCTGTTTAAAAATAAAGTCTGTCACTAAGCTCCTGCAGAGTCAAAACACTGTTCTCTCTCCCCTCCACTCCATGTAACAAGATACCCCCCACACCAGGCAGCACTCATTATGGTAATTACCACTTACTCTCCACTTACCTGCAGGATTTTCATCAAGACAACCTCATCACTCGCAGGATCAGTGCCCACAAATCGGGCATGCGTGACAGCATCCGCCATGTTCTCCATTCCCTCAGCTGTGCCCTCATGGCTGGGATCTGCGGAACAAAATGCATTTGCAGTGACAGGGAAAAGCCTTCTGCATCACATAGCCTCTGCCAAGAGACACTGGCCCAGAGCTGGTTTGCCTACACCTGCAGTCTTTGTTTGACTCTTGCTATGAACACCAATCAGTATTTTATTCATTGCTAGGAGTTTTCAGATAGGCATGCTGTGTTAGAAAACTAGCTTAGGTTTGTCTCTTTTTGAATATCGGCTTCTTGCAAAGGGAAAGAGAAAGAGAAAGGAGTAAGTAATTAAGTTGGTTACTGTCCCCCCATTTGGTCATTTTTGTTGGTAAATTATAAGATTACTGTTTTTTCCCCTTGGTGGTGGAGCCATAATCAGTTGCCAATTGCAAATGAATCTCCTTCTCAGTCAGGAGAGAAGTTTCTAACCCAGAAACCTAAACTCACAGTACAGGGAGAGAACCCCAGCCTGGGATTCTCCTAGACAGGACAGGAAGTTGCCCTTTGCCTGCGTTCCCTCCCAAAGAGCAGGGGAGAGGGAAGAAAAGGGACTAGCAAGAATTCCCAGGGGAAAAAGGTGGACAGACAGGACCATGATTTAGACAGCAGAGCTTCAGGCCTTCCTCTTCAATCATTCATCAAGGCTTCTCTCTCCATTTCAATCTTTTGTAGCTACAAACACGGATGCAGCTGAGAGTTAAAGGCAGGATTGTTGCCAGTAACCATATCTGGTGGCACATTACAGTGGCTTTGGAAAAGCTGCCTTTGGCTTTGATTTCATTCTCACTTAAACAATGCTGCATCAAGCAAGAATCTTGTTACCTTCTTAACTAAACAGTCATTAGAAAAGAAAGGAGATAAACTAAACACTGGTTAATACCTCATTAATTGAGGATGGGTGGGGCCCCTTGAACTCCAGTAAAACACCAAGTGACAGGGAAACCCAGTGAAGAGGCCTCATTCTTTGCAAAAAAGCTTTTACAGAATCCTTCTTGAACTCCAGTTGTGTTCACACCTTAAAGGCTAAGGCTGAGGTACTGAAGGAAATTGCCCTCATTGTGCAATGAGGCACCAACACAGAAAGCAACCCCATCATGTTGGGCAGATTTGTACGGCCAGTTGCCCACAGAGCTACAGAGGGAAGAAATGGCACCACGGTACATAAATGGCCTGTCACTCACTTCGGCACTAAGGGCTGCAAAAGTCTCTCCCTCCCACCGCACACCACAACCTCCCCCAACATGAGTGCAGCCTTATCTTGGGCAGAACTGACCCACCTCTGAAGTCTACCTTCTACATATTTGGCAACTCCTGCATGTTAGTGAGAAATTGTGAGAATCTATCTAGGGAGTTTTGATTGGTTATTTCTAACTGACAATTAGTCACGTAGAGCAGCACCAGAAAAGCTCAGTGTTGAAGGAAGCCTGACCTAAAAACAGGAATTTCATTTCTTAGGATTATAATGGCTTCTAATCCAACATCTGGACTATGTCTACACTAGCTACTTTGCCCCTCCATTTCCCTGTTATTGCCGCTACCTACTCATCTCCATCACTGGAGAACTAGCAGACAATGTGGCAGCCACTCCAGGGGCATCTTTACATGCGCTTGGAGGGGGGGTGGGGCAGACATGGAATACACAAAACTGCACAGGCTGCGTGCTAATTAGCATGCTCCAGCAGACTCAATTAATCCAGTCTGCTCTGCCGTGTGCTAATTAGCAGGCACTGGGCATGTGTATAGGTGCCCTAGGTGTCTGTTTTGAACTAGGCTAGGTGACCAAATGGTTAAAGTGCCAGTAGCAGCCAGTACCTCATCTACATCAGCATGACAATACAGAAAACAGATTTGGTTATATCAAGGATGGGAGGAAAATGTCTGCTATAGACAAGACCTTCATTTAAATTCAATAATCATAATAACTGAGTTACTTCTCAGTTTAACAACCACCAGCAGCAGTCTCAACCTGCTCTGGACTAAGAATACTTTAAAAAATAAGTTGGGAACAAGTTGCCTCTGTGAAAAATAAAGACTATTAGCACTGCCCAGAAACAGATATTTTGCCAAAAGGATGCAATTATTCTTGCCTACATAGCTCTAGCAGTGTTCTTCCTTTGCACCCCATAGGTCACCTGTTACTTTAGGTCTGGATTCTACCCACATCACAGATAATGTACTTCAGTCCTAATACACAGCACCGTCAGCTACTTTAATCTTTACTCCCTATCACAGCTTTAGCGATGCACCTCAAAACTTGTCATCACAATTTACCAGGCCTTAAGTTCAATATTTTAAAATAAAGCAACATGCCCTTTCATAGTAGAAAACCAAGGAGATTAAAGAATATAATGGCTCCTTTTTCCATTTAGATCAGAATTCAAGAGGCTGGGAAGTACACCGGGGAATAAAGCCATTAATGTCTGCTCTTTTTGATAGAAGGGAAACTGAAATGAGCAGTAGCTCTGAAAACAGTCACCTCCAACTGATAGAGACTTGGAAACTTAACATCAAACAGCAAAAAAGTCATTACAGGGGCTTCCTTGGCACAGCAGGAAGGAAAGCCAAGGAAAGGGACGCAGAGAATTTAGGCTCTTCATCTTCTGAGGATACTTCTTTGTAGTTGGTACCTCTAAGCAAGAATTAAGGGAAATGAAATAAATCAGAACAAGGAGGCAGGGATAGAAGAAGGAAGAACAAGCTCAGGCATTGCCAGTAATCCAGCTCTCCTGCTTAAAGAAAAGCAAAAAAACCCCAAAACCCAGCTACAAAAAGGCATGGTTTAAAAGCAAAAGCAAACTGCAAAATCTAGCAGAAAATCCACAATACAATTGCTCTTTTGACTCATCTCCTGCACTGGTGAAAGAATGTGAAAATAGGAACATAATTTGGGTGGCTTTTATTCAGAAAACATGAAAAGCCTGCAGGTAGAGTAGAGCTAAGATCAGGGGAAAAAAGCCCTAATGTGCGTCTTCTGTATAGGAAGAAAAGTCCAGCATGCAGTGAGCATGTACCCCAGGACCTGGCTAATTACCAGGTACCATATTTAATTGAATGTAAGAGGACTGTGAATATAAGATGACCCCATTAAAGTCTATATATAAAAATGTATAAACAGGTTATAAATTTCCAGGTGTAGAATCTAATTACTGGAGGGCTGTCTTGTATTCATCCCTCTTCTACTGCTACAGCAAGAAAAATAGTTTGGGGAGAAGGAGTCAGGTGGCCCCCTTGCTCCTGCAGCCCTCCTTCTCCCCCTCTTACTGTCGGATTCTCCTCAGGCTCTATTCCCTCCCTGAGCACAACATGGAAAGGAGTGAACTGTAAAAGACCATAACGGGAGAGTGGGGGGACCAGAGTGGAGACCAGAAGCTGCAGGGGACAAGCAGAAGAGTACAGGAGACTGTTGTAGGTCTGGATCTGACTCTGGCTGTGACTCAGACTCAGGGTCAGAGTCAAAACCACAGCAGTTACCTGCTCCCCACCCCCATCCCTCCTTGGTAGTTTGCAATGCCAGGGACTAAAAAAACGCTGATTCCACAATAAACATACCCATGGTAACTTGCATATATGCAAATTACTATGGGTAACTTCATTCAGAATTGATGCATTTTAACTTGCTGCAAACTGCTATAAGTTTTAGCACAGGTATTCCATAAACACACTTTTGAGCAGCAGTTTCGTGCCTACTTATGCATAGTACAAACTATGCATGATATTAGTTCAGAGCCAAAAGGTCCATGACTTATCTTACAGTTCAGTGGCTCTACCTTTTTGGCTGATGGATCAGATAGGCAGTGCCCAAGCCATCCCCAAGTCAGATCAGGCTGATGATCCCAACCCAGCATGAGGCAGTCACAGCACAGCCCCATCCAGCTGCGCAGAGGCAATCAAGGGGCATTCCAGCTCCAACCTGGCCCTGCAGGGGAAGGGAGGGGCCGTGGCCCAGCCTCAAGTGGGAGAAGGGGCCTGGAGTGGCCCCAACCCAGCCCCCTGAGGGAAAGGTGGTATGGCCCAGTCCCATCCAGCCCTGGGAGGAAGGGTGTGGCCCAGCCTCCCAGCCATGGGGGTGGGGGAAGAAGCGTGACCCAACCCTAAACTGCTGCATGGGGCTCCGGGTCTGGGAATTTGTTAGCCACCCTCCCCTGCCAACAAATCTTCCAATCCATGGGAAGTCCCATGGGCTGGATACGTATGGCTCTTCAGGCCGCATTTGGCCCGCAGGCTGGAGGTTGAGTACCCCTGATATAGTTCATTGAGCTGGGCCCCAGCAGTCAACAACACTGCTTTCAAGCCATGGTGGCCCCACAGCCCAACACTGTTCAGTATGCGTTTGTACTCCAGATCCCCTCCACAAAGGATCCATATGCTAATTAGCCCCCACTTGTGTTTTGGGGGGACACTCCAAAAATGCATATGCAAATGAGGCTGCCTGGCCCATCTCCACCCCATAAAGGGCTGAGCCACATTAATCACGTGACAGGTTGAAAGAGGAGGCCACAGAGTCTCTCAGTTACAAAGAAGTTTGATGACATTTGCCAGACATATAAGTCTCACGAAAAAACAGGAATCAATGGAAATATTCAGCTGTGGGAGTGAAGAGGATGTCAAAATGTATTCGATGTAGGGGCTCACTATGACTTGAAAAAGAGTTGCTGCTGAGGGGGACTGAGCACAATGGGCACTCTACTTTTTTCAGATGGACTGCACTAACCTAGCCCTGTGGGAGATTCCTCCCTAGTTTGCTCAGGCAGCCACATGGCTGAGGGCAAGCAGAACTTGGGGCATCTGAACCCCAAGTCTCTGGCTTGAGCCTGCATGTAGGATGCCTGCCAAAAGATTTGGAAGCATCTGAAACCCCAGGTGGGGGTGGAAGATGTTTGCCGGTAATAGGGGCATGTTCGGTTCTTGACTGGTTCACGGATTTGGAATTGATTTGGCCGATTTGACTTGGAACACACAAAATTTTCCTTAAAAAAAAAAA